GAGTACAGTGTTGTGATCATGGTTCGCTGCAGCCTCAATCTCCTGTCCCATCTCAGCCTTCTGAGTGGCTGGGACCACAGGTGTGCGCCATTATGTCAAGCTAATTTTTTATTTTTTGTGTGAGTGGGGTTTCACCGTGTTGCCTAGGGTGGTCTCTAACTCCTGGGCTCAAGCAATCCTCCCACCTCTGCCTCTCAAAGTACTGCGATTACAGGGGCGAACCACCGTGCCCAGCCCTCTAACAGCTTTCTAGCATCTCTTATTCATCCCACAAAAAAACCCCAAGAAACTCACCCTGTAGTGGTGTCCTTGTCTGTGAGGGCAGCAGCCTGAGCTGAGCCTCCCCTGTAGGGGGACACTGTAAAGTATCTAAGGCCTTCCTGGGGTGCTCCCCCATGCCTAGGGTCACTGCAGGAGATGATTCCAAGGAGTGACTTTCCTCTCCAGGTTGAGGCGGGAGGGAGCGGCAGTGAGGACCCTGGAGGTCACCCCGGTAGCAGCTGCAGGTGTGAAGAGGAACCAGGCAGGAGTTATTGTCCTCACTGCCAGGTTCACTGAGGCAGTGAAGACCACTTTGATCCCTAGAATTCCCCAGAAAATGCTTTTTGCTGGGGATACAGGGAAACTTCTAGGCTATTAGGGGTGCGAGGAAGGAGAGTAGAGACAAGTGCTTTAGGAGGAGAGAAGCTGTGTTTGTCCTCTCTGCCCCTCCCCTATTCAAGGGCCTGGTGCTGCCTCCCTCATGAGGCCTTCCCTGACCACCAGCTGCCCCTCCCCCGGCCACTGTCACTCCCTTTGGTTTGGGGGAGTGGGCCACTCCCTTTCTCTTTTAGGCAGGTCTGGAGGCCTGCGTGCTTGAGGCTTCCACATGCTTATGGGTTCAAAGCGGGAATGTAGGTGTGGGGGAGCCTGGCTCTGATCAGCTGATCCAAGGGCAGCCGCGACTGGCAAGAGGGCACCAGTTTTGAATTATGAGTTCTGAATGATGATGGAAACTACTGATAATAACAACCACATGATGAGGACTCACCGTGATGCCTAATCCTCTCTCCAGCAGGCCGTCTTAATGAGGTTGCGTTCTGTGGGGAGGGCGGGATTTTGAATGAGTGTCTGAGAGCCCCCACCTCCAGCTCCTCCTCCCACTCCTGCAGTCGGACGTGGCAGGAGACTTCTCAGTGCGGCTTCAACCTCAGCGGCAGCATGCTCAGAGGGCCTGGGGGAGGGGAGGCAGGAGGCAGAGCTCTGACACTCTGCAGGAGTACCACCCTTTCCTGTGCTCCCACCCACTGTGCAGGGGAGGCCTTGCTTTCTGGTCGCCAGGGAAGCAAGGAGGCATCAGCCCAGGACAGCAAGGGCAGGAAGGAGCCTGGGAGAAACAGAAGTCAACAAGCAGCAGGTCAGGAGCCTTGTGGAGCAGCCTCTGTCTGCCCGGCAGCCACAGATGTGGCCTCAGTGACCGCCCAGGGCCTCTCCCCACTCCAGCGGCTGCTGTGCTCCTGCCAAGGGCCCACGGGGGCAGCAGCTGTGTGTCATCCCTGCCCTTCCTCCTCCTCCCTCCTTGTCTCCCTCCTCCCTGCCTCCTTCCTGCCTTCACCATCTCTAAGCACCTACCCTTCATCTCCATGGAAGAAAGCTCATAGAATGACTATTTCCAGGGACATTTGAATTTTATGAGTGCTTCTCAAGCCCCAAAGGCAAAGGTAATGAAATCATATTGGTGGAATCCGAGAGGCTGTTTTGGAGGGGACTAGAAGACAGGAGGGCCTCCTAGGCTCCATTCTGAATAGACATGCCTAGATCATCCCTCTCTCCCCCTTCCCCATTTCTCTTCCAGGGGTTTCCCTGGGCTAGGCCCTGGGCTTGACACTGGGATGCAAAGGAACTGAGTCCTGGCCTGAAGGAAGGCCTTGCTTCTGCCAACCCTGCAGAAAGTGCTGCTTTTCCCAGAGAGGCAGCAGGGCTCCTGCTGGAGGTGGCGTTGGGAGTGAATTCTCTGCTCTCTTGTGGTCTCTCTGATGAGCTCCTTCTGGAGTCGGTTCAATCCTGGTGAACTGGGGGTTCCCAGTCCCAGTTTCCTTAGAGTCAGCTTTGTCAGGGCTCTGGTGACTGTGGAAGGATTTGTGACTGGAGGCTGAGTCCAGGGCCTGGTGTAAGTGTGGTGAGGCTCCTGTGCACGCTCAGAGCTGGGGACGGGGGACCTCTGATGTCCTCCCTAAGACACAGTGAGACCCGGAAGCTCTCAGCTCTGTGCTACCCTGGTTTTGGTGACTTGGAAAAGGCTGGTGAGGGGTAAAAAACAGAGAGTCTGGCCTGGCCCCAGGCAGGTTCCCTGAGCAGCTGCAGGCTGTGGCCTCCTGTGCTCTGTGGGCCTGAATACAGCCCGTGAAGTGAAACCTCAATCCCAGGACAGCTCTGCCAGCACTCACCAGCCCCTGCACACAGTCCCACAAGGAGATCCTGCTCTGTCCTCATCCTGTCCCTGAAGACTCTTCCTCTCTGTGGCCCACAGGACTGGCTACATGATTTGCTAAGCCCAGTACAAAATGAATACGTAAGATTCCTCCTTAAAAAATTAAGGATCTCAAGATAGCAACAGCAGAGCATTAAACCAAGTGTGGGGCCCTTCCGAGTGCCACAGAGCCAGCTCTGGCTGCCCAACATTTACTTCTCAAAGGGGGACTTCGGAAACATCACGGGAACAACTCTAAATGGGAATTTTCAGGCCCTGGTGACAGGGGGCAGAGGAGTTAGGCCCACCTGATACTCTCAAATTGCACCCTGGAGACTAGGGACCACCTATACCAGTTCCCACCATAAAAGGTAGCTTCCTTTGCTTTTCCTCTTTCCTGTATTCTGCTGTGGGTATTACTCCTGTATTTCATGTCAGGGGTGCAAGGAAGGTGTGTGTGTGTGTGTGTGTGTGTGTGTGTGTGAGAGAGAGAGAGAGAGAGAGAGGAGCAGGTGGAGGAGGAAGGATGGGATGGAGTTTGGTTTTCTATTAACCTCTGCCCCACTGCTATTCCTTCGGGGGGTGTTGTGTGCAGTTCTTGTTGTTCCGGTGACCTGCAGCTCCAGGTACAGTCTCTTTCCTGCTTTCTCCTCTCCACGGTGGACTCTGCTCATCCTCCCAGCT